ATTCATACGGCAAAAAAGTCTATTAACTGGCAGTTGACTTCTCACTTCAAACAGCTATCACCTCACTCTATGCCATATTCGACTACTTCCACAGTACTCACCTCACCTTTGTTCTACCTTTGGGTTTGTCTCTTACATCTTTGAAACACTCTTCTGTTCCCCCCTCTCGACTTTTTGTCACTTAGATGTTCCTTCCCCTCTGTGAAGCCTGAAGTCAACTATAGGGCTAATGATAACCATCAAGACGCCTGCCATTTGATATAAATAAATAAAATAAATTAATAAATTAATTGACGTCAAGACAGAAAAATTATGAATTATCGTTACCAGTCACGATTTCTCAATAGATATTTGAAGAATTCGGAGATTCTAGCATGGGCTAGAGTTCAAGACATAGAAATGGGTGGGAAGTATCCAGGTCTTCAATGATCTCAATAATCAAACAACATCCTTTTGAGTTCATCACCGATGTACACGACAAAATGGAGAAACTAAGTAAAGATCTATATTGGTGGTATCAATGCCTTATTTTCCTGAGAAAGCTAGCTTATCTCCTATGATAAGATTAATCAACCGTGATTATAGATAACCAACAGTTATCTGGAAGTAACACAATAGCATTCGAATTCGAATCCCCTTTCTGATCTGTTCAAAATCGGTTACTGCGTTCATTAAACGCAAGCTAGAATTTATTATCGGAACATCAAAACAACTGCTCAACAAATATTCGATGTTATATTCACTGAAAGGAGTATTTTGTTCTCATTGAATGTGCGCAATCGTTCGGGTTTGTGAATAAAGGATCTTGGCATATAGCCCACTGAAAAATTAAGCACCTTGACGTCATGGCCAACCATCCGAATATTCATTCCTCGAGCCAAGAAAAAGGACCGAAAAATTTGGATTTCATGGCGTACCTTCTTTAAACCATTTCAAGATCATTTTGAAGCTTTTTCGTTTTGCTTTTGCACTTTTAAAAACATTAATCAATTTCACCTTATTGTGAACTTAAAAATGATAATAGCTAAAAGTTGGAAAACACTGATTAGTGATCGGGTTTCGCCTCTTTGATAACCGGAAGACCCAACTGTCACTAATCATTTCTTGTCTTTTCATTTTCTTTAACCTTAAAACAATAATAAAGCTAAGATTATTTCGAGTACTAATTGCATTATCGAGTTAGTTAAATCAATTTGACACCAATCAAATCAGTGGGTTTACCAAGTACTTAGCACTAAAAATAAACTTGCACATATACACACACAAATTATGTGACTCGTTTTACAAACACAAATCAGAAAATCATGCAAAACCAAGTTAGCTACCGATCATTGCATTGAAATGAGTATCAAATTCATATCTCGACTCAGGTTCAATATTTCAATAAAATACTACCAATAAGATCAACTAATATAAGTTCATGTTTTTGCCTTGGACATTAACCAATGAGAGTTTGAAATTCAAATAATTTACTTAATTTGTGAATGAAGTCGTAGTTAACGCAGGTAATTATGCAAAATATTAAATGCTTAGATAAAGCTGACATTTTGCTTATTTAATTAGCATATTCCAGTATATAGTATTTATTTATTTATTAAATCTATATTAAGACTTACCAAGAAAATCGAAACCCGTGATGAATCGACTCATCAAAGAATCTTCTTTCAATTGTATTGAGCAAATTGTAATAGGACCTGAAATCTTTTAGACCAGCACTGGATCTCTGTGGTTCCATAATTCTCTATTTCACAGAAACACATATAAGTGTATACTGAGCAAATCACTTTGAGTTCTTATAATGACGTATTAATAAAACATTAGCTTACGGACAAAGCAAGAAAATAAAGCATTTTCAAATTCGCATTTTATTACCTTTCGATACTCCGTAAGCTTGTCTAAGCCCTCGGCATACTTGTCCGGGTCCTCGTGATAATGCGAAGTGATGAAAGAGGAGAGAGCGGATCGGAAATCGATTAGGTACGTCTCTTTCAAACCAATCGGGATAACTGGGAGACGTGATCTGAAAAGGTATTAAATTGGTGATGAATAAAAGCAAAGGTGAATATTATCATTAAAAACGTCATTTGAAAATCGAGATATTTCATGTGCACGATAGACTGACCTCCATGTGGTGCACCCTGGGCAACGTATTCTCATACAGTAAAAATGACTATAAACCGGTAGTTGACTTTTGACTTCAAACTACCATGACTCCACTGTATGTCATATTCCACCACTTTCACAGTACTCACCCCCCACTCTATGCCATATTCGACTATTTCCACAGTACTCACCTTACTGTATGTCATATTCGACTACTTCCACAGTACTCACCTCATTGTATGTCATATTCGACTACTTTCACAGTACTCACCTCAACCGTATGTCATATTCGACCCCTTCCACAGTACTCATCTTACCTCGACTATTTGTCATATTTGACCCCTTTCACAGTACTCATCTTACCTTGTCATATTCGACTACTTTCACAGTACTCACCTCACCTTCTGTAACACTCTGCCTTTGTGTCTCTCTCTTTTACATCTATGAAACACTCTTCTGTTCCCCCCCCTGCCTTTGTGCCTGTCTCTTTTACATCTTTGAATCACTCACTTTTTTGTCTGTTCTTTTACATCTTTGAAATTCTCTTTACATCTTGAATCACCCCGTCTTTGTGTCTGTCTGTCTCTTTTACATCTGTGAATCACTCCTCTACTTTTGTGTCTGTCTGTCTCTTTTACATCTGTGAATCACTCTTTTGTTCCCCCTCTCGACTTTTTGTCACTTTGATGCTCCTCCTCCTCTCTGTAAAGTCCGAAGTCATTTGTAGGGCTAATGATAATTATTATAAATCCTGCCGTTTGGGAGTAATATTGATGTATATAGATCTAAACGCTTCAGGTATTGTGATATTTCTTATCCCAAATAGTTGTCAAGATGTCAGGAACAATGTGAACTCGAATATTGATTTAGATGGATGTTCGACTTAGTGACAATCTATGAAAATTGATTATCCCGAGGCAAAAAATAGACATAATTACAACAGTATGATCCATGTTATGTCAGATTCCCGTCAGTATTAAAAAGTTAACGATAAGGATCAATACGAATAATAACGGTTAGGTCAAGGAACAAAGGATTTACTTCCACACAATCAAAACACAAATAAGTCTATAAATCGGCAGTTGACTTCAAAGTATAACGACCCGACTGTATGTTATATTCAGCCACTTTCACAGTACTCATCTCACCTTTTCTCTGCCTTTGTGTCTGTCTGTCTCTTTTACATCTGTGAATCACTCTTCTGTTACCCCCACCCCCCACTCGACTTTTGCAACTTTGATGTTCCTCCTCCCCTCTGTGAAGCTCGAAGTCAGCTATAGGGCTAAGGTAACTATTATATAGCCTGCCATTTGATATCAATAAATATTCCATGCAAAGTCTAAGCGTAGACGTGAATGCAAATGTACACTCATTGGATTCTCTTGAGTAGGTCAGTTAATTTAAATGGTTTTCCTGTGACTACTACTAGATCGCCAGCAGGTCGTAACAGAGTTGATAAAATGATCATGAATGAACTCATCAGAAATGGCCTATTTTATCTCTTTCAACACCTTCCATATTCCTTTCATTTGAACTCCCACGAACATAGATCAAGAGTAGACTTTTCACTAAAGCTTAATTACCTAACGGATCAGTACAAATCGACGCGATATCAGATATTTCGATATGAGTGTTAAGACATCATTTCGTTTCCCAGCGGGTGATAAAAAGTTGAATATATTGTCCATAAGAAAGCCTCAAATTTTAATACTTACACCAGTGTCACATCCTTCTTAACACCACATAACAGCCGAGTGAGTTAAAGAGAAAAGTAGTGTGAAGTTGCTACTTTTTTCATCAAATAGAAAAACATTCTATTCATTATAAAACTTAAAATGCTAATAGGGCAGCTGGATATCTGGCAGATTGATTAGTTAACTAATAGATGATCAGTCTGCTAAGTAACTTTATCGAAAGGAGAAGAGCGAAGCGTGGAAGAAAGAGGAGGTAAAGGTTGCTACTTTATAAATTTGGATATAACTTACTTATAGTAATTTAAATTTACTTATAGATTTGTTTGTTAATGAAAGGCAAAGTTTTAATGACCCTTTTGGAAGGTGACTTGGCGTCTATAGCAGTCCAATTTTGAGAAGTGTTAAACGTTATTATCTCATCAAAGATTCTTGAAAAAGAAAAAAAGAAAGACACTCCACTGTCTTAAATTGGAATTAAATACAAAGCTTTCATCCTCAAATATCTGGAATCAGAAGAACAATGCCACAATTGCTATTTAATTTCAATAGAATTTGAAATGAATAAGGACAAATACATTATCATTTTCTCTATTTTGCCAATATTACTCCAACATCGCATCGATTCCCTATTCAGTTGTAGAAATAAGTTGAGATTTAGAAAAAAATAAAATGGAAGACAAGTCAGGATTTGCGTGTAGTAGAAAAGCTACCAAATGGAGAATTGGTTGAAAGGAATTAAAACCAGAATACGTGTCATTGCAACAGAGGATGACAGAGGAAGAATATAATAGAGCCTACTGTAACGAATTCCGAAATGTTCACAGCAAAATATTGTTCGACCTTTAGAATGCTATGAAATATTTATTTTATAAAAAATCATAAGAATCTTACTTGCTCAACCACTTTAACTATGACAAAAATATGAATCAGAATGAGTCGATTTTATATTCCAGTCGAAATTTATTTTTTGGCAATAAATATCATATTACATAAAAATTAATGACCTTCCAATGAAATAAAAGTAACGACGCTAATAATTTTTTCATGAAGATCAGATAAATTTTTAAAATTAAAATTGAATTCATTCACAAATAAATAAAGGAATTAAATAAACCTATGGAATAAATATTTTTCAAATATTCATTAATACTTACTCTAAATTTTGATAAGTTGAAAAGCTTGAATTTAGAAAATCCATTTTGCTTTTTAATGCATCATAAGCCTCAGATTCTTTACTGAGCGCCTCTTCAACCATGTGTTTATGCGATTTTGAAAAAACTTTGGAACGTTCGTTGGCACTAAAACAAGTCAATAGAATAAATAAACTGAATACAGAAGTAGATTTTGCGCTCCTTTTTTCATTTTTAAAGTAGTATTTATGTCAGGAATAATTTCAGATTTTTTATGATGCAGCATAGTCCTTAGAGTTAAATTTCGGCTATTTCCATTCTGAAAGGCAATATAGAACTAAACATAAAAATACGTTTCTTCTCTGTGGAAAGGGAGGATCATTTTCAAATTCTTGAGGAGTCGCTTCATTTTGCTCAGTATCAACTTCGGTCATGTTGAATATAATGACAATTTATATTAACGCAGTATTTATTCAACCTTGAAAATGACAAATTAAAACACAAAAACGGTCTTCAGTAAACTAATAGTATAAATAAAAAGATAAGAAATATTTATTATTCATTAGCCTTTAAATGAATTTTAATGGCCAATTTCAAAACCTTGCATTATTTGAGATACAGTGAAATATATAATCATTTGAATTTTATTTAAGTAATTAATTCTTCGTTATTGCTCATTTAGATTTCCATCTTGTTATACACATTAAAAATATCACTTGTAATTTGCTATTTTGAATCGATATTCCCAAAACAACCAATGAAATCCAAGAACTTATACCTTTAATCAAATTAAATGGAATTTCTTCGAGGACAAATAAGGTCATTTTCAATCTTTATAGGAGACTTATAATTATTATGTTATCACAATAACGTCCGTTTAATAAAGAAATAATATTATTATTTCTGTTATTCTTCATTACATGATAAAGTTAAAGTAATAATTTTTAGAAGTTGACATGACTTTAAACTAAAAATTTGAACGAGTCGTAATGTTTTAAAAACATTGTATTTATGCATTGCCTTCAGATTATTTTGTTTTCACGCCCAAGTTGTATTGAACATTCGACAGAATTAATGAAATTGTCTTATTTTAATGAATTAAAATCTATTTTAATTACAAATATGCGGGGTTTTGGTAAGTATATTACGCGTTTTCCATTTGTAAATAGTACGTTTAACTAACTCTCTTTACCATTTACGACAATTCAGGTCTTTTGCTAAATACTGACAGCGGTTTAAATTTTACTGACATTTCGTTAAAGCTGATATTTATTTTATTCTAATCCACTTATCGATCTTGATATATATAATGATGTTAGTATTGATCAAAACTGATATAAACGCCAGCATATCCCTGTCCAAGTTGTGAAAGAATATTAGAAATATTCTCTGCAGTTAATCTATTTTTAAGTACACTTCGCGTATACAATGCGGGTCCATTGAAACTTTTAACTGAATATTTTTCCATTCTGCTTTCAATGCAAACTTCAACATAATATTTTTGATTATTGCTTTTGTTAGAAATTGAGGGTGTAATAAATTAGAATATTATGTTATGAACAAATTTCAGTCAGTAAGAATATACATTTTAGTTGTATTTATCGACTGGTAAATGTTAAATGACCATTGTGTTTGTTTACGGCTTCGGTTAAAATTTGTTATCGTTTGGTGGTCAATTATTGTACGTGTGTCTTTCTAGGACATACTGATCAAAATATAACGAAATATATATACGAAATAAAATATAATCGACTTAATTAGGGCGAGACTTTAAGCATATGAGGTATTTTAATAATTTGAGACAACTCGAGTTGAGGACTTAGTTGTGATTTGTAAGTTTTGTTAAATGAGGAATATAAGATCCACAAGCCATAGTAAAATTTTGGGTTCCATGATTTCAAAACCACTACCACTTCCTCACAAGTACCAAAACAGTCGTCCAAAGGGGGAAGAGGTTTGATAATTGCGAGATTGTCTGCCCATTTCTATAGATCCATCACCCAGGTAGCTTTCAGGCAAGCGATTTATTCTTTTCCCCTTGAGTATATAATCATTATTAAAATTATCATTTCAAATGGCAGGGGTTTTGGATAGTTATCATTAGCCATTTAGCTGACTTCGGGCTTCACAGAGGGAGGAACATCAAAGTGAGAAAAATTCGAGAGAGGGAACAGGAGAGTGATTCACAGATGTAGAAGAGACAGACAGACAGACACAAAGGTAGGGACAGAGGTGAGGTGAGTACTGTGATAGTTGTGGAATATGACATACGTATGACATAATTTATCTTTTGGGAAAATTTTCAGTTTTTCTGATCATTCCGTGGGTTTTTTTGACAACAGCCACTTACGAACTTGATTTCAATTTAGTGTTTGGATCCCGTTCTAGGGAATTCTACTAAGAGTTTTTATTCCACTTCATATCCAAATTCGAGCTATCAAGTAGCACCGGTAATGCTACATTACATTCCCGATAAACATACACCTCA